ATCACTTCTGTTTTCTTCAGTACCAGAGAAGAAGTCTATCCCCACACATCAGCATATGATGCTTCCTTGTTTTTTTTGTATGTACTCTACTCTGTGAATTTCAACAGAGGAAATGTAAGAATGCCAAAAAAAACACCCCAGGCTCTAGCTGTTTTCAGTGCACTGTGATCCCAAGAAGCCAGTTTGGAGCTGGGCTGTCAGACCACCATCCTGGATCAAACTCAATAGATAATCTTCCCATCCTATGATTAGGCCCTCATACAGCCGACTCTTTTTTCTTCTTCCAAGTAACCCCTGCTTTGATTTGTTTGCATCATACATTTATGTTTTCCTAAACTGTGGCTCTAATTTCCCATAAGCATAAATGATGCTGACTGACCACCACAGCCCTTCACATGTATCATTAAGGATGACTCTGAACTCTGCTATGGCCTCTCATTTCTATTGCTGAGCATTTAATACACACACTTCAACAAACATGTGATCCCAAATTGGATTTTTCTACAGATATGCAGCTGGACACACTGTGCCACACTGACTGTCAGAAAGAAATGTTTAGCTTGCCATAATTACTTCAACCATCAACCACAGTGCCTGATGAGAACCCTTCCATTATGTGACATCTCTGGAGGCATATTCCCCCTTCAGCCATGCAGGCATCTAAAGAACCTCAGGGAGCTGTACCATCAGTCTGCATGCTGATCTATGACGAATAAATGTTGCTCCAACAGTTTCTGTCAGTGCTGATTTACTTGCTTTGTTTCTTTGCTTGGGGTTTTAATAACAGTACTAAAAGTCTTTGCTCCCAGTGTATTTGACATTGTGCCATTGGTCCATTAGGATTTGGTTGAGTGTTGTGCATTATTTTTAATTTGCATTCACAGTGTGCTCCCTAATAGCTCACTCTGAATTCTAGCAACGGATGCTGTGAATTTGTATTAACAGCAGCGCTGATTTGTGCAATGAGTAGTGAAACTCTTTGCAAAAGAATACTTAGCTCTTCATGTCCTTTAGCATAGGAGATCAGAGTTTCCAAACAACAACAGAGACTTTTCTTAGCAAATTGTTCCTGGACCAATCATAATGGGAAGGATTTCAGCTTGGATGGAAATCGTTGACACAAGCTGCTCTTGATGCCAAAAGTTTACATGGCTTCAAAAAGCAATTAGACACAATTATGGAAGAAAAAATCCATGAAAGGTGACTAAACACACAGATAACTCTGATTCAGAAATTCCCTGAGCCCTTGGTTGCTGGAGGCTAAGAAAGGATCCTAGGGACAGATCACTGTACAGCTCTTCTCTAAGAGTTTCCTATTAGGCACTGCCTGAAGAACACACTGTTCTAGTTTGACCTAATACGGCCTTTCTTATGGTGTCACATTAAGAAGTCATGCTGAGAGCACTTAGGAAGAGAGAACGGGGAAAAAAATCCCACAAAATATCTCCCTTCAGGTTAACAACTTGCAAGTGTTAAGATTTTCAGCATTTAAATCCTCTTGTATCTAATTAGAATTCAGGTCCTCATAACCCCCATCAGCTTCCTTAGGAAGAGCATACACACTGGACTACACTATAATCATGGGCATTTCAGTGCCTGCGGTGCCCTTAATTGGCTGAAGCCTTGCACAGTGTCTGGCACAAAAGCACTGATTTACTGATTTGCTGTAGTCTGTTTACACAAACTGGCCTCAAGTTTGTGTAAACTACAAGATGCATTTTTGGCAATGAGTGTTTTAAAGTCTGCCATGGGGTAGGGTCACAATTGCTAAGGAAGAAAAGCTGGTTACTCGGTTAAACTAAGCAGAGGAATCTGGCAAAGCACAGATAATACATTACTCTGACAAAATTATAGGCATTTTACAGCAGTGAAAAATCGTTAATTTCAAGGCAAGTCCTACCATCAGTGTCACGTCTTAGGAGATGCTCAGCACCGTGAAGCTTTCTCCATATGCCTTGACCTTCTCTGGAGAGTGAACTGTGCCTCCTTAAACAAGTGGTCACTGGCACACTTGATGGATGTCTCGAAACCGGGGTAAACAAACGTATATGTCCTGAAAAAACTCAAAGACATTAAGGTAAGACTGAAAAAGTAGCAACAGCCACACAAGGTGATTATTTGGTTTGGATTTGACTATTTTTTAATTTTTTTTTTTAGTGGAGTACAGGAATGCACTGGGTTTTGTCATTTTTCTGTTGTGAAATGATCTGGACAATTTGATGTCCTGGAGCTTGGCAGACAGCACCTCAGTTCTTGCTGTTTATCATTATTTAAGCCGTCTTGCTCAAAACTGTGGGTGGAAATAAATAAAAAAAATCTGTGAAATGCAATGAACCAATGAGTTTCTCCCAGCTGAAAGACATGTGGTTTAGTTTTGTGGGTTTGTTGGATTTTTTTCCCCTTGGTTTTGTTTTTTCCCCCTTTCCTTTTTGCTAAAAGCACTGGCATTGACAACTACACTAAAAATACCCAAATAGTAGTCTTACACCACCTCCTCACTCTGGGCACTCTTGTGCTTTGCCACAATTCGGGACTCTACTTTCCCTGTATATCTTCAGCACCTTTCTCTTCTTCCTAATTATGCCAGTCCTCTCCCTTCCTATTTGCAATAACTAATATCCCTGTGACAGCCATTGCTGAGATGAGAAGGCAGCATTAGGAAAGCATTTAGTGAACATTAATTGCTTCTTAATATGATTTAGCTGCTGGAAATAAGAAGGCTAAGCTAGCTCCATGTGACCAGCAGCCCTAGAGGCACTGCCACCAGACTCCACTGGAGATGCAATCCCGTCAACCTGGGGGGCAGCAGCCATTCAGGGATGACACCCAAGGCTACATTTTACTTTTCCAAATTAGCAGCTAAGTAGGGTTGTAGGAGCTCAGCAACAAAGTCATCATGACACCACCTGGCTGATTAGTGATCTCTTCCTTCTGTGCGAGCCAGCAATTATCAGTTCCCACTGACTTCAGAAGCTAATGGGAATCAGCGGCTGGGGGATGCTGCCAAGATGCAGCAGCTTCCAGCTGTCAGGAGGAGGATGGGATGGGGCACAATCTCAGTGTACACTGTTTGGTCTCTGCCTTTTCCTGTGTGGCAACTTTGGCACCTGTGCCTTTACCGTTTTGATCCTCTACATTATGCTATGTGACACTGTCACTTCAACGTGGCAACACGATGCAAGAGAAACTTGATCTTTCAATCCAGCATTCCTAAATTTGAATCCCGATTTACCATTGATTCTTAACTTGCCCTTTAGTTAGGTCACTTAATCTCTTTACTAAGTTGCTCTGCCAGGAAATTAAGGCTGGTAACACCTTAGAGATATTGTGACAATCAATCAATAAGTGGCTGTAAAGTTTTTGGTAAACAACAAGCACCAAGTGCCAAGTCAAATTTAAACAGATATGGTTTATAATCTTCCCATTTTCTTTGCACGAACTTTAACACGACACAAAGATTAACCTTCCAATATGGGAAAAAAAAAATATCTCTGCTGATATTATAGACTGGTGCTGGCAGCAGACCTCTGACTTGAAATATGATGTTCTTACTGACATCACTAAATTTCCCATGGATTAGCTGACAGTGATGCTTCAGGACTCATGGGGAAAGTGTACTGAAGACAGAAGTAACAGCAAGGGAAAAATACAGTTTTCTGGACTGTAATTCCACATCTCCTTCTATACAGAGCTGAAATAGAATACCACCAGACTTTCCAAAATGAAAGATTTATTATTTTATATGAAGTATTTAATGGGAGTTATGAAACAGTTGATAATATCCACTAACATAAGCAGGAACCTTCAAACTTTACAGAAGTAACAGTGCAATTGAAATTTCTAGTTATCTTCTACCTAGCGAACACACACATACCTTGAAAAGCATCACCCTTGGCCCCTACATGTTCATGTACAATGTCAGCTGGATTTATAGGGTAAGCCTGAAGCTGAAGTTAGGGTTTTTTTGAAATGGTGATGAAACATCTTAATGTTCAAGACATCTAGGATTCATGATAACCTCAAAACAGCAAACATCAGGACTTCCAAAGTCTTCTCTGGCTTTGGTTCTTGATTATAACTAAGAGGACAACTGAGCTGTGCTCAGGGGGACCGTGCACTGAGCCAGTCCAATACTTGCCACCCCACCGAGACATCAGCTCACAGTGGTTTCTAGCTCTTCCCACCAGCACCCACAGCACTGCTAACCGGTGAGGTAACAAATGCCCTGAAAAATAATCAGGCATTTCCTGGCACACCCAATCACAGCTGGTGCTGTGCTGCTCCTCTGATGCACCATAGGCATGCTGATCCTCATCCTTGTATCTAACCACTTACCAGACATGATATCAAGTGCCTGTTACTTCATTTATACAGCTGCAGCAGTGCTCCCTCTTTGCGGCCTTCCAGCCCTTGCTTGAGAGCATAAGAGGAGCAGCCCCAGGGCTTAAGAGAACGCTTGCAGACACAGAAAATAAGGTAGATCTGCAAAAACAAGGTGTCAGCTGGCTACAACTGAAAGGCTGTTATCAAGTATAGCATCTCTACTACCTGCTCTGTTAATAAAGGGGGCTTAATGGCACGTTGTCACCTCACTAGGTTTCTCACAGCACTAGGTGGCCTTGTGAAAACATCATTAAATGCACTACTGGGTAAAACAAAAAGATGCAGAAATATTCATTTACCAAACCCACTGCAAACGCATTCTATAAAACCCCCAATAACGCACTGGGTGTTATTTATAAATAGAGACCTATTAAAGCTGCAGCGACCCAACTGCACCAGCCACAGGCCAGGGCAGGGCAGGGCAGGCCAGGGCAGGGTATGGTATGTTATGGCATGGTATGCACCCCCAGGAACCTGGCCCAGCGGCAGCGGCGCTCCTTGCCTGAGGGTAAAGTTTGGCGAGAAACCCTCCCCCGTCTCCCGATCCTGCCCCTCAGTGCGGCCGCCCCAGCGGGCAGGGCCCCGAGCAGCGGCCGCGGTGGGAGGGAAGGCGGGGGGGCTGTCAGCGGCGGCGCAGGGCTGCGGGCGAGGGGCGGAGCAGAGAGACCCTGTGTCTGCTATGGCCGCCTCCCCTTCCCCGCAGCCTCCCTTAAATACTATGGGGCGAGCGTAGTTGTGGTGGGTGTTGCTGCTTAGCGCACCATGCGGGCTGTCATCGCCTTGGCCGCGGCGTTGGGCAGCTTGCTGCTCGGCGGCTGCCTTCTGCGTCTGGGTGGACAGCAGCCCCTCCGCGCCAGGTAGGGCGGCTGGGGGGTCCTCTCCCGCTGCGGTGGGGCTGCAGGGCGGGAGAGCCTGGCGCCGGGTGGGCAGGAAGGAGCGGGACGTGGTGACCCCCTCTCTGGGAGAGGAGCGCGGCGGAGCCCGGTGCTGTGGCCGCCCGGCGCAGGCTGGGCTCGGCTCGGCTGTTCGCGGCGTGTGAAGGGTTGGCGGGGAGGAGAGCGGCGCCGCTCCCGTCTGGTGATGTTTAATCCCTGCTTTTGACAACTTTGTTTTCCTGTCTTGCTTGCCAGGGGCTGGGAGCAGGACGCGGGGGTAGCTGCTGTCACGCCGAAAGTGGTGCGAGCCCTCAGGCCGCCCCTAACGCCCCTTCCGCGGACCGAGAACAGGTACGGGCTGACCGCCACCAGCTGCTGGTAGCGGGGTCCGTGAGAAAGGGTCCGCGGAGGCAGAAAACCCTGCCTGCGCTCCGACTCGTCCTGCCTTTTGTGTTGACGACTTGATCAGGGAGAGTGTTAGAGACTTACCAGGCTAAGAAAATGAAATTTCACTCAAACTGCAGTAAATTATTTGCTCATAGGCCCTTTTAATGACAGGTTTCGCTCCAGTGTTGGTTCTGAGCCCCATAAAATGTTGCATTTAGCAGTTTTGTTAACGTACGATGCGAAAAGTACTTGCTGTATGTCATCTCCCAGGTATCTTTTATTACTCTTTCCAGGAAGGTGGAGCTGGAGCTGTATAATACTGTTACCGTTTCCGTAATGAATACTTAGTTAAAAATACCCTTTTCACTTTTAAAATCTGTAGGATGAAGGTGAGACAAATGAGCCCTTTTTCATGTTGTGTAGCAGCTTACTTTGTGGGAGCCCTTCCACCTGATTCCATGTCTTGGTCTTAGATCAGTGTTGATCTTTGCTTTACTGCCTCTTATTTTATACTGTGAAGTTAAATGTGAAAATAGTTGTTAGAATCAGCTGTGAAACAAGTTATGTCTCGCATGCAGGCTTCACTATAATGACTGTGTTTTCGTGCTCTTGTTTTTTCACACACCGTAGGAAAACTAATAGTGCAGAAGAGGGTGGTGTAATCCTCACATGAGTTGTTACTATCTAAGAAGTCACTTGCAAATATTTTTGCTACTCTTTTACTTTATAAGGCTTCATTACCATTGCAGTTTCAGTGATTATCATATGTTTTCAATGATATCATATGCTAATACACATTATGGGTAAAACCACATGATAAAAATTAGGCATAACTGTGATGTCCTGGTTATATTGAAGTCAATGGTGAGCCTTACCTGAGGCTGCCATCTCACCCGATCTAGCTGAATTTGAGGGTGAAACAGCATATGCTTTCCCTGAATGGATGCAAGTGGCATTAGTTGTAGTAACCATTGCAGTATACACTAACAATAGGTTTCTTATGTGTTACCAGTGAGACAGCCTTGTGCTCCCACCCTCAAAATGTAAAACTTTCACAAGCTGTAAGTTTATAATGTCTTTCGAAATTAGACTGAACAAAAGGAACAGGAACATGTGCAGAATTCTGACTGCTGTTAAGTGCTCCTAGGCTGCTTCTCTTTCCTGTGCTCATTTTTTCCCTTTCTACCTCTATTTTCTGCTCCTTACAATTTATTGGATTTGCAGTATGTACCCTGTTCTGCTTTGCTTTTTGTAGCTGTCGCTCCATTCTCCTCTCCACCCTGTTTTGTGTTTTCTCTGTGGTTTTTCTGTGCCCCCCCCCCCCATCTTCTACAACCCTTCGTTTTCCCTGCTTGTTTCTGAGCTGCAGTCTCCTTCCACTCAGCTCTGTGTGCTAAACCAGGGAGTCAAACTGACTGAAAATACTGGCAGACAGCGTTTTGGAGAGCAGTCTAGCTACTTTCCATCTGCTGTTTAGTACACACACAACTGGAGCAAAGAAAGGGTAAGCAACACATACTGAAGTGGGCTGAAAATCCATGGCATGTATGGGTCAGGTTTTAATCTCTATAATAAGTGAGCATGAGTTTTTAAATACATGTTTTTTCTTTAATTTACTGGGAGGATTTAGGCACCAATTTAGAGCTAGTTTTGTTCAACCTGAAATTGTATTTCTTTGCGATAAAGTGACTGCGAAAGTGTGACGAGTAAATTGCTCACCAATGAAAGTTTCATTTCACTCCCATCTCCTGTAACTGTAACTGTAGTGTCTTTGGAAGTGATGGCTTGCTGGCTGAATCCAAGAGAGGATGTTCTTTCTCACCCTAGTGGCTGTGCTGAGTAAGGTGGCCTGACAGGAGTTCATGGTGCGCGTTTGGTGTATGAGGAAGGAGAATGAGCTGCTGGACTGACCAGGAGCTGTTACTTAATCCAGAGAACAGCTGGACTGGGCGGCAAGCCATGCTGAAGGGGTTTGATCTAGGCAGCAGCTGGACTGGGCCTGGCTTAGGGCCATGCTGGAGAGATTTGATCCAGAAAGCATCTGGACTCATTCAGAAGATTCAAACCCATCCCTCAGTGATGGAGATGGATGGTCTGGTCAATAGGAATTAGATTCCAATTTGCAGTGTGGGTTTGCTGCAGTATTCATGAGTATAGCAAAAGCACAGAAGAGTACCTTGTTGAATTAGGTTGTACAGGGGTTAGTGAATTTTTGAATCAGATGAGGCTATGTGAGTATGTTGATTCATGAAGCTAGGACAATCTCTTGGTGCAAGTATGGGTCTCCTACAGTATCCTGATAGTTTGATCAGCATTGCTGTGTTGCTGACACCAATGTCCTTTACTGCGTCAGAGTAAGAGGGTGTGGATGGATGTTTGATTAGATTCTGATCTCTTCAGCAGTTTGATGCATTTGTCTGGAAAGGTAAGATTTTTCTCACTAACTTCAGTGGAAAAGTGAAAAAAAAGGGCACTGCCTTCTTTAACTGTAAGTAATCTAGACAATCTTCAGAATTGCAAGCTAATCTTTCTTCTTATCATGATTTCCTGTGCTGTTGGAGGCATATTTGTAACCAGACATCTCCTGAAGAATCTCCAAAGCCCTATTATTCTGTTGGCTTGCAATATTGAAAGTTAATCTGTTCTTTTACTTCAAGTAATTCTTCTAAAGGGATGAAACTGAAGGATGAAAGAATGAAAAACAGGGGATTGGTTCAGACTGTCACAGATATTTAGGCAGCTGTCATGCACAGCAATGTTTAATTAGATAGTGACCAGCCACCTAAAGTTCTTTGAAGATCTGTGTCTTAGAAAATGACCTTGAAGATGCGGCTTGTTTCTTGCAGGACATTTTTACCACTTTTTCTTGTTAAGGGTTAGATCACTTGAACAATGTGACTGCCTCTGCAGTGTAACTTCCAGGTTCTCTTGTGGGTTTACTTCGCAGCCTGCAGTGCCTGTTAGTCGGGTTTCTTCCTAGAAGAAGAAAAAGGCCAGTGTTAGTAAGATTTCTCTAGTAGTCCCCAGATTTATTCATGGAACCAGTAGCATTCACACCGCAATACTATGGTTCTCTGGAAAATCCTCATGTGACTGCCTCATAGCATCTTCTCAGTTTTTAAGCTGTAAGTTCAAGTACAGCTTAAACTTGCTCAACCCAACAGTACAGCCAAAAGAAGTAGTCTTGCACTTGTCTCACCTTTAGAACGTTGGGCCTCCCCTCACAGCTGTGTTTTTGCTGGAATATTTGTTTGTGTAGTCACAGCATTAATAGCAAAACAGAGGGCTCAGTAATGCTCGTGATTATCAGAGAAGGTGATAGTAGTAAGAGGAACTAGGTAGTCTTTGTTATGAGGCCTAGGGTGTACTATGTTAAGCTTGTGCAGAAATGGTAGCTCCTTTTGTACTGTCCAGGGATATATAGGAGATAAATAATGCCAGCTCCTACAAAGGAAGTGAAAACAGTTTTCTCAAGCACTATTTCGATATACTTTGTATACAAGTAATAGCAACGCAGCAGTATACCCTGAAGAACTGACCATCGCTACTATTATTCTGTTAATGTCACCAGTTTTAAGGCATTTACTTACTATTTCCCTAACTTACACTCCTCCTTTGCAGGTCCAAGACAAGCACAGTGTAGAGACTGTTGGGGTAATTGAACAGTGGGAGGAAGTGATTGAGGAGCTATGAGTAAACAAGTTAGCATTAGTACAGTGTTTTCTGTAGTATTTGTTTCTCCACTTCCTCTCTCAGCAGCAGATCTTTATGCAGGCCTAGGGAATAAACAACTATACTTAATTAACTATGCTACAGAGACCTGTACATTCTGTCTCCTGTCAAAATACTGCATTCTGGCAGTCAGAAAATGAAGAGACAGACTTACCACAATTATGAACAGTAGCTTAGTATACTGTAGCATAATTTGCTAGAGCTTAGATTAGTCAGTACTGGTGCCCACTTCATTACTGTTACCCTTTTCAGTATTTTTTTCCTTTCATTCCCAAGTGATGCATGTAGATGTTATTTAGGAGTGCAGTTCGAACACGGGCCTCATGTATTGGTTCTGTCTAAATGAATAGGTGTTCAACTGAAAGCTGCTGCCAGGACACATTTATGTTTTGACAGTGGTGAAAGGTTTCCCAGCCTCCTTCTGTTTACTTGGTCCAAGTGAAACTGCTCTGTCATTCTGTCTCTTGTGTACTGTTGTAACATCGTTTTAGTGTAAGTACCTGTTCTCTTCACTTCACCCGCCATGAAACTCTGCATGTTGCTTGTCATGTTACCTGTCATTCTGTTTATGGATTTTAGAACTAAAAAGTGTCTGATGTATAACTCTGAATGCACAGGAAGGTCTTCCTTCAAAATGCAGCTTGTCTTAAAAGACCTGATTTAGCATTCCTTAGATAAGCAAAACCTCCATGGGAACTTGAACAAGGACAGTAGAATCAGTCTCTTTCACAGTTACTGTGATTAATGTTACAAGACAAACTCTTACTTCTGTGGTTTGATAAAGCCATTTTAATAGTCCATTTCACCAAGCATTTAAGTTGCGTATTGTATGTCACTATATTCTTACCATCTGATTAATTTGAAATAGTGTCAGAGAGAGCACTTTAGAACACCCTTCCTAGGAAAGTATGGGTTACGGGTTTTTAATAGCATTCAACTAATAGACTATGAGATTCAAATATAAATTAGTCTCTTCAAGGGAGAGATTTAGACAGAAGGTGTTCACAGTCTGGGTAGTGTTGTTCAGCGCCACTTTGCTAGAAGGATATAAATGTGCGGTTTTGCATGCACAAGTTACCCTTTTTTAGCTGGAGATTCTCAGCTGGAGCAGGGATCAGAGGTCTTGTGCTGCTTCAGGCAAACAAGAGCAGAAAGCTATAGGAAAAGTGCAACAACTGCTTTTGCTGGGCATGGAGTGAACGGAGTCAATGACTGAGATTTTTCCATGTGTTCAGTGTGGACTTAACTCTTGCTGAAAGTAGGGGTGAAATTCTTGCTGCTTTTAGTGCTGTGACAATCCAGTTCTGAGCTCTTTTGAAAATCTCACCGTGCATTCTTTTAGTTGGTTCCAGCTGCTTTTATGGGAATTCTGGAGGATTGGCCTTTCAGTCCTGGGCATGTCTTTATGTTACAGTATAATTCACAGCACTCGATGTTATTTTTCCATTTTTGCCTGTCCCTGTCCCCTGTCCCCCGTCTCCCCCCCACACACACTTTTTTTCATCTGTCTTCTGTCTATCCGTTTTCCTACTCTGGTAACTGTGTTTGGGGTTTAGTTTGGTTTTGCTTTCAAAGAGCTTCCATTTCCTTTCCCTCCCTACATCACTGCTCCCCCAGTGTACCTGTCTGTTTGGTGATTCCTTGCACTAAGGCTCCCTATAGTCTCAGGGCTGCATGCTACAGGTATAGCAAAAGGGGCCATGTGGTTCCTCTTATTCTAAGGGTGGGTGCAATAGTAGTGTTAAAAAAATTTTACAGTTAAGGGAACTGCCATCTTCCTGAGAGCAAGATATAGAATAACAATTTGCTGATAAATATGGCACATGGTCTTAATCTACTGTGGATTTATTAAAGTACAGATGGTGTACTTTCAGAGTTCCTAGAATTACCATAGGAAGTATGTGGTCTTCAAGCTGTTCGTATATGATTAAAAAAAACCACCCTGATTTTCAGATTCTGGCCAGTGATGTTGGCTTTGAGAACATCTAAACCCTAAGGGAAATGCAGCAGAAATGTCACTGGTTTGTCAGTTTTATGAGTTCAAGACAACAGAATATAACAAGGTTTCCACTTCAAGTTCTCGCCCAGAGTTTGTAAAACTAGTTGAATTTAGCCTGATATCTGCGTTGCTGGGCATGTTACCTGATTTCATTGCAGAAATTTTAGTGCAATTCTAAGTATTGAACAAAGACTGCCATGCCTTAAGTCAGGTAAATTCATTTACTGATAAATATTGCCTAGCATAATTGTCATAAGTGTTCAGAAATCTAATCTGAGCCTGATGTCTGCACAACTGTGCAATGAATAATGCAGTAGAAGTCTGGACTGCCCCCTGCACACCCCTTTTCTCTGAATGTGGAAGTCTTTCACTCATGAGAAGCAGAGGCTACTCTGACAGTGAAACGGAAATTCAGAAGTTTAACTTCTACTCAGATGAGTCATTGCTTTGCATGTCTTCCAAATAACTTGTTTTGGTTTTGTGCCCTTTTACACCATATAAATAGAGTGTTGTGTAAATTTTGTGTGGAAAAAGCTTCAGAAGCAGCTTTTTGCTGATCTATCTTGTGTCTGCATTGTATGGATAAAGAACTTAGATTAAAGTTCATGTTTGGTTTCCCCCACAGCTGTGCCGTTTTTACCAATCTACCTGTCATGGAAAGGGAAGACTCCTTATTCCTTTTTTTATTCCCTTGATTGCTGTAAAAGTGATTGGCAGGATATAATGATGAAACGGAGCAGGAATTTGTTTTGATCGTTCTTTATCTGACTTCTTCCTTTTTGAGATTTTCAGGTCTTGAAAATGTGTGCACAAAAAGCAATTGCTTATTGAAAAAAGAGGCAGCTTCCTTCAGTTGATCTTAGTGCTATGAATTTAAAAAGACTAAAAGGCTGTTGAGTAAAGCTTGTATTTGGTTGAGAGAATATTTATTCACTGCCCCAGTGATCTCAGGACATAAATTAATAGTAAGCTGTAAGGACCTTGTAATGATTCTCTGTACGGTGTTGAAATCTGCATGTGAAAGAACGTTGGTTGTCTGACGTTGCTGCGAACGTACCTCACAGTGATCTGATCAAACCTAACCTCCTGATCTTCCTGGCATGCTTCATGCGTTAAAGGAGGTCTCTGGCCAGCTTCTTGGTTTTTGGTTGTAATGAAAAACTTACTTGCAGCAGTAACATGCACTTGGCTTATGATATCAGCAATTCTCTTTTTTCAAGGTGCTGCTTATGTAGCTAAGCTTTGCCTGTAGCCATTTCCCTTACTTTAAGCTGCAGCTGCAGACGAATCATTTGAGTTTACTGAGTTAAAGAAGCAAGAGGGAGGAAACATAATTTAGTGCTAACTAAACTTGTTTGGGAACTGGTGTTCGGTTGTTTAGTGAAAGGGCCCATCTGGTTCTTCTGTGTAGACAGAACCATTCAGACCCAGCTGCAATAAACCTGTGTTCATTCATAAATGGTGTAAGCAGAATATTTGTTGGCACTTGCTATGTGAGATCTGCAGAGTTGTTTGCTCTGAACTGTGTGCTCTGAAAGCCTTCTGTCCTCACGTTTGTATGTCATTCCTTGAAAAGGAATTAGATGAGGAGCTGTGCGCAAGACCAGCCAAGGAGCTCTCACTAGGTAGTGCCAACTGTTGCTAAGTATTCCAGTCACTCCAGAACTGGAAGGACAGAGGTTTACATTGTGTTGTCTTACCATTACCCTCAACAAGGAGCATGCAGACTGCTTGTTTCCTTAGGGGCACTGAGTGTATACTGGGAAGAAGATCTTCATGGTGGAAATAAAAGGAGAGAGCTTCTGCAGCCTGTATTCTGGATGAATTGCTCCTATGGAGTGACTGATTCATTAAAAAAATCATGGGTGATGGAAAGAGAAGGACAGGTGCTTTGTTCCTTTTCCTCCCCTGTCATAGCTATGAGCATGCCACTCAGTTCAGTAGCAAAATTAACAAGCATTTATTCTGCTCTCTCTTCTTCAGTCAGCCTTTTCCTTATTTGAATTATTTAAGATGTTAGTTACTTTGAGAAGGCTCAAGGGGGACCTTACCAATACCTGAAGGGAGGGTGCAAAATGAATAGAGCCACACTGTTCTCAGCAGTGGCCAGTGACAGGACAAGAGGCAATGTTCACAACCTGAAACACAGGAGTTTCCCTCTGAACATGAGGGAAGACTATTTCACCGTGAGGGTGCCTGAGCACTGGCACAGGTTGCCCAGGGATGTTGTGGAGTCTCCATCCATGGAGACACTCAAAAGCCATCTGGAGATGGTTGTGGGAAACTAGCTCTAGGTGCCCCTGGTTGAGCAGGAGGTTGGACCAGATGACCTCCAGAAGTTCCTCCCAACCTCAGCCACTCTGTGATTCTGTGACTTGAAATGGCATCTTTCCCAACTAAACTTCAAAATCAGCTTGCCAGAAATCTTGTTAAGTGGTCAGCATGTTTTAACAGGTGAAGGCAATGGAGTTCTGGTCCTTGTTGGTAAAATGAATCATGGTTCAGCAGCACAGCACATTGTGTACAAACCAGGAAGACCCTTTCTCTTTGCGTATGAGTGCCTCTGTACAGAGATGGCTTGGTTGTTCTGTGTTGCTAAGAACAGCACAGGTTTTGTTCACTGCTGCAGCTCATGCCCAGGAGTGAATGACACAGCATCTGTCTTCTGCATTTCTGTTTCTGGTTTGGACAAATAGGTTGCAATATTCAAGTGGTCTGTAAGTAGTGAATCAGTAGAAAGAGCCCAAAAGGAAAGGGGAGGGCAGGAAGAGGGAAGTGTGAAGAGAAGCAAGAAAAATAAAAAAGCTGGAGGAAAAAGAACTGCATGATAAAAGACAGCACACACAGCAGAAGGCTGGTGATAGAAGAGGGTGATGTATGAGACTGAATCTTGATACAGGGTGAACCGAGGTGAATGGAATAAGACACTGGTATCTTGGTCATTCACTAATTTCCAGCTCAATCTTATACTAGGGCTACCAGGGCAAGGGAACCACACAGGAGCTTGGCAAAAATAAGGCAACAGGATTTAAAGATCACTGTCTGGCACTTGCCTTGGCTCCTTTTACAAATGTTTATCCTTACTGTGTAAATAAAGAATAAGTGAGGGAGGAAGTATTAAGCTCAAGAAGTTAAGGTCCGAGTAGAAAGATCCACTTCACCTGTGGTGTTTCCAGTATATATTATATTGGCTCTGAATATTGCGTTTCATCAACAAGTTTAGGAAATTGCACCTGCTAAATGTTTTACTGGTGAATATTTTAAATATCTGCAAAACATAATCTTCCAGAGGCTTCCCATTTCATTTCTCTTTCTAATTACATTTTCTGATTAGTGTGAAGCAGAAAATATAATTCAGACTGTGAAATAGGGTTACTTTAAAGAATCAAACCTTTTTATAGACACTAGCAGCAAATTCCCCTTTTATACAAGAGCTTCACAGTAAGTCAATGAGATTTCTTTGGTAATGTTTTCAGCTAAATCAGTGGTTATTAATCATATTGGTATAGCAAAAAAAAGTGACAGCATTGTCAGGGTATGTTCTGTCTTGTAAAGTTTGTTGCTTTTTTGTCTCTCCTCCCCCCCCACAGAACAGCTGTTAATAAAAATGGAATTTACCAGTTTGAACAGGCTTCAAAATGTAAGGCAATTCAGGACAACATTTTGTCATCATCTACCAAGAAGAAAAGGTAGGTGTTTGCTGTGCTTTCTGCTTTGTTTGTTTTAAGTAGGAGGGTAGAAGATTACCCTCTTCCACATAATTCTTGATGATATTAATGTGGAGCTATACAACAGGAAACTGAAATTATTTAACTACTGTTTGCCTGCATTTTTTTCTTTCACATGAATTAGATTTAGTCAAGGTTGTATTTTATTTTTCTTATTTTCACAGTATAAGCAAGATTTCTCCTTGCCAGTTAGCAACATTTTATTCCAAGATATTCACAAAAAGGCTGTACAGAATCTGTGAGGTATAATTTCATTCTTGAGTGTCTTTTTCCTGATTGGTGAACACTCCTGCTATGAGCAACCTCTGTTAATGGGTTCTTTTCAGCGTATTCACTAGAGTAGGTATGAAAATGTAGTAGTATAAAAACTTGCTAATTAATTTTACTCTTTATAATGAATGGTTCACAGGCAAAAAATACTCAATTTTGGCTACATTGAAAAAAAAATAAAATCCCAAATTAATTTTGGATTTTAACCTTCTCTTCTGCCTTTTCCCGACATGGAAAAAAGATCTTTGATATCAGCCCTGCTCAAATTCCTTGCCACTTTCTAAAGTGAAAATGGGAGAAGCAGCACATTGCTTTTGACATTTAACACTTTGCCTATATGGGTGCACCAGTAAATAAAACATTGTAAATGAGAAAGGCTTCCCATTAAGACTGGGTTCTAGCTTAAAATTAATTATTTGACATGATTGCTTTAAAACTGGAAGATTGAATGCTTCCCTTCCTCCCCACCCCCCCTTTTGTGAAGAGAAATGGAATGAGAAAAAAAGCTCTCCTAGAAATAATTATGTGCCTTTCCAAATTCAAAGGACTGGAGATGTCAGATTTTATCTCAGCATAAACCCAACATTAAATCACGATTTTAAAACTTCTCTGTCTTCTCTGCCCCCTCCTTTCACCTGTTTTTAAGTCACCATATTCTCAGCCTTCTGTCTTCACTCTTGTTTTTATTTTTCTGTAACCTTTCGTCCCACCAGCATTCCACCTCATCAGCAACGCTGTTATTGAAGTTTTTACTCTTCTGAAAGGTGTTAGACCACTATGTTACTGATGTGCTGCTGGTGAGAGCCAAAACAGAGACTGGCAAACAGAGGTCAAAGAATACAGTTGACTTTAAAATTGAATGATTAACAGCAAGAGAGGGACAACCAGTCACACTAGTGCCTCTAAAATCCAGCTATAGCAATATAAATGCTTCTATTTATTCCATGTGGTACAAAATTGTACATGCTGCATCAATGCAGATGAGCTTTTCATACCTAGAACGTTTTGGAGCCGAGACTGTAGGAGAAACTCTACTAAGTGTGAGACCTCTATTCTGTAGCTAAAGAGAAAGGAGCTGCACCATTTAACAAGGCAGAAGATGAACTAGGTGGGTAGGAAGAGAAACATGCTTGGAACAAAGGAGCAAGGGATTGCTTTGTGCCATGAATATTGCAACTCATTGCCTTTCACTGAGAGGAGCTTCAGGGATCTGTGTTGCTTTTTTGAGTTGTGACCCACAGGCATGGTATATAAATGCTTTATATTGCAGTTCTAGACTCATGGACATTCTGGATACTCCATCCTCTTAAGTTGGCAGAAAGGGGGAAAAAATAGCTAGTTTAAAGGTTGTCAAATGATTTGATAGTAAAAAACGCTATGTAAGTGGGAAGTTGTTATTATTACAGCAGGTATGTGCTGGTGGTGATAAAGAGCCTGAAATGCTGAGTTTTGCTGGCAATTTTCCATTTTTATTCTAGAGCAAGCCCTGTGCATGCTCTCCTGAGGGCTTTAAAAACTAATAGCTATTTTGGTACTATTAAAGTGTCCAAAGGCAAAAGGGACCCTCCTTTTCTCTTGCATTTCCTGTAGTTATTTCTCTTTTTATTTGCTACTTTCTTGAACATGAGGTGCCAAGTAGGAATATCTCATTTTTTCACTCCTGCTGCTTAATTTTCCTTCTGATTCAAATAGCTATTTCCTCTTTTTCCTCTTCCACCCCTCCTCCTCTCCCCCAGTAGTTGTTTAGTTTTTAGCAAGTAACAGTGGGGCTGCATTTGTCTCCCTGTTATGACATTTTACCTTTTGTCTCCCTGCTTTCTAAACTCTTCCATCCTTTGCTGTTGTCCTTTAGATATCTGCCAGAAATTAGAAGGTACTTATACTTCATCAGTGCCTTAACTGTGCATAATGATTCTACCTTAGCCACTGCAGTTAACATAGAAGGTCACTGTGTACCTGACAAGTACTGTAGACAAAAAAACCTTCCAGGTGTTATTTATCAGCAGGGCTCTTACAGTATGGATTTCCTACAACAGCAAGTTATTATAATGGCTGTTGTGCAAGTGGTAGACAAAATCAGAACAAAATGTGTTTCATTCACTATTCTCAGCATTGTAATTGTTGTCTTGTCCACATATTTTCATTGTTCAATTTACCTGAGCTTTTTTGTCTTAGTAATTGACCCCTTTTAGCATCAGTGAATAAGTGCTGTAAGCACCTGGGTGCCAGAGGAAATACAGGTATTGTTCCAGCTCTTTAAAATGGAACAGTGGAAAAGAGGACTGTCTGGGTTACAGCAGAGCCATGAAATGATACCCTTATGGCCTTCTGGACTGTTTTCGATTGGAGGAATGAGTCCCCAAGGCTCCCTTAAAGCAGGAATGCTAAAATAGGCTTTCTGAGAGGAAAACAAAGCTTTCTGGGCTGTAAACCCAGCTGCAGCAAATCCCAGAGCTTCACTCTGAGTCTTTAAAAAAATTAATTGATGGGAATATTGTCTGTGTTAAAGCAGAGCTCATTGCATGGAAGCCTTATATTGGTGTGAGCAGATGTGGTGGCTGCGTTGCAGACCTGTCGTGGCTGGGAGCTGTCCGCTGGCCCCCAGCATGTGCTACTGGGATGTTTCTGCCAGCGCTGGCAAAGATGAGTTCTGACAGTCCATCACGCCTTTGTAAGTCACAAAAGGAGCGAAACTGGATGTGTAGGGTGAGCAGAGGTGGTGGTCTGCCTTTTAAAAACCTGCATGTGGTGCTTTTCTGGGTGAGCTGCTGAGCTTAGAAACCTCTTGCTAAGCAAGAGTGATTCCATCCAGTAGATAGTAGTGGAAAGGCCGCAGTGTTCTTGCATTGTAATTGGTACTTTTACCATAGGTGCAGCTTCTGTTACACGTATAGGAAGGTCCTTACAGTTTCTGACAGTGAGTTCCTGTGTTTCTCATGAAGCCACAGAACTGGCATTATGGGTGATTCTTTGATTTTTCTTCTTACCAAATGTTTCCCTGTAAGTTGCTAATAACTTGTCAGTGCATGCAGTTTCTTTCTGAGCTGATGGTAATTTTTCTTTTCATTTCTGAGTCTGATCTTCATCTTATCAATGTCTTTAGGGTGGAATTTGCTTTTTCTGTAATTTTTTTTCTCCTGGATAATTATAGTCTAAGTAACTCTTCATGCTCTGTTATCATATTATTTTTTGGAATTTATCCAGAAGTTTCAGCATCTAAGAGTTATTTAGCATTTAGCCTTAAGGAATAAAACTAGATAAGTGATTAAATATTAGCGTAGGCTATTTTGGTCCTGTGGTTCTATCCCATCTTCCCCCACATACTCACTCCCTTCCTGCCCTATGCTGGTACTAACACTTCCCTAACCCCATGGTGAGCCAATCTGGGTAGACGCTTCAGCAAGAAAGCAGTTCCATTTTCTCTGGCTGCAGTTCCAAGGCTGCTAATACAACATACCAGCATGCAGCTGCCAAAATAGGAAGGCCTTGTTCCCAGTTTCTCCCTCCCATCACCCCTTGTTTATAGTGGCAGTGTTCTCCAGTGGTATCTTTCCTGATCTCATTTAACATGCTAAAGAAAATGTATTTTCATATTTTCATTTTTATTTTTTTCCTTCTGAGGTTGTTGATTTTGGTGGGGTTTTTTTTTGGCATGGTAGTAACTTAGTGTCCTACGAAGGCATTTGACAAGTGTAAAAGCTGGTAGAAACAAAACCGAAGTGGAGTCAAGTAAGTACCAGAAGTGAGTGGCACAAGGGAGAGAACAGATTCAGAGTTGGACTGGAAGGATGAAGCATGTGCTGCACCAGGTCAAATCAGCTACAGCTGCAATGAAACTAGTTTTGCTTTTCTCTCACTTCTGCCTGTTCATTCATTCTCTCTGAGCAGTGCAAGGGCTCAATAAAATCAGTTTAGTCACAATCATCTAGTTCTGTTAAGAGTCTGCGAAGTCTGGAGAATGAAAATCATACATGTCACAGGAGCAAACTTGAGACAAAGACCAGTTCTAATGTCATATTCCTCTTAATAGTTTCATTTCTTTTTCTATGTGGAAATAGGACATGATTTTATTCAGGGGTAGATAAGTTACCTTTAGCAGCTGCAGTACTTTTATGAAGCAAACAAAAAAGGGGATCTGTTCTTTCAAACGTTTGCCATAAAGCTGTGATACTAAAAGCATGTTGAACACAGACAGAATGAAACTTTTGGGTTGACCTCTCCTGCTGCAAGCCCCCTACAGCCTTTTTAATATTCCTTTTTAGCAATTCTTACGCTCCATTTAAAAACCAGTGAGATTTCTTGCCATCCGTAACTCTTGTAAAACTGTTCATAAGGTCCAGCTTAAATAAACTCATGATCATTTGGTTTTGGACCAGCACTAAGCCATTTTTGCTAAAATAATAGCAAGCAGATCTTTTCTGGAGAGGTGAGTCCCATAGGGTTAGTAGTCATTGTATCCATGTCATCTCTTCTTCCCATTCCCCAAGTCCTTTTCAAAACTATGTTAGGATCCAGGCACAAATGGAAGAAGTAACATTGAACCTATAGGGGAAGAAATGTCTCCATTCCTTTAACTTACGTGGTCTGAAGTATTAAACATATAGACAAATATGAATCTCTTGAAAGGTTTTAAAGGGAAGTGAAAGCTCTTTGGTATCATGTAACAATATAACCAAAGTCCTGGTTGCTGTAAAACAATAGATTGTTTTGTTTAAGACATAATTTGAAGGAAATTTACATCTGTAAATATGGGTCTGTGTTCTTAAATGATTGGACTGGGCTTCAGGGAGTCTATAAGGTAAATGGAGGAAAAGGCATAAGAAGTGTCATGTTTTATCTTGGCTTGCAAGAGCCACATTTCAAAACATTTTTGAAGTCTTGAAACACCAAGAGTAAGAGGGTTTTTGAATTATTTTGAACTTCTGCACTTGAGATGATTTCAAATAACTTGAAGGTATTAATGATCAAATATTGAAGTTTGAAACCAGTGTACTTTGGAAAGTTTCTGAAAAGTTCATTAGGGCATCACTATTAAGAAGAGATGTTTAATAGGTCGTGTTAATTAAATGAGGAGAGTACTTTACAAATGACAAAAATAAAATGGGTCATAGAGTTCTAAAAGCGACCTATTATATATGCACCATGCACATCATTGTTAATACATTCATCATTTGAATGTTTTAGAGACTGTTTCTAAATATACATACAGCTGTTTGATGTTGTTGCCGTTGCCTTCTTTAGATATACAGAAGACTATTATCTTCACATCGTCACAAAACTGCAGAACTGCACCTGGATAAGGAGACCAGAAGAATCTATGAAATTCAGGTAATTCTCATTGTCTCACTTAGAAAAACAGTTTACCCTAGTTTTGTATAACAAGCCATGATTTTAAATCTTCCCTTCTGGAAACATAATTTTGTGTTGCTTTTAGGCTGCATTTGTAGCTATATGTTTCTATTAACCTTTTGCTGTTGAGGCTCTTCTTATTTGTTTGAATTGAACTGTGCAAACTGAGTAGGATAAATGAAGCAAATTCACCCATTCATTGCAAGTGAAGCAATTTCACCCACCTCCCCTGTAACAAATAGTTAACTAATTTGGGTAGAATGGACTAAAATATTCCTAGCACAAAGTCTACAATATTTAAAAAAAATCAGTAATGTGATTGTTGTCCATCTGAGCTGGCACTCTGGTAAAAGACTTTGTAATGAAGCCCTGTATTTGTTACCCCAAGGCTATTGCTTCTACTACAGAAATGCCCAAAGCACTCATTAGATTTGATGCTGCATGTTAGGTTTGAAACCCCTGAGCATGTAAGCAAGTGATTACATCTGTCCTTTTTCAGGATGGCACATAAATACATGCTTAGTAGGGACGGTGGTCCCTGAAAAGCTTCCACTATCATTTGGAAGTGCATCGTGCTGATTTCAGAGAGCAGCTTCCCTGTGCCAACCCTGTTTTCTCCAGGGTGAATTTCTCTCTTGAATTACATTATTACATGGAACAGAATTAAAGATTCTGTCATGATGATTAAAAATAAATGAACTGACCTGTCTTCCACCTCTGGAGTTAACCAGCATTGAAAACTGAATATCCATGCCCATCAGGATACCTCTGGAAGAAGTAATTTCGGGGGGGGGGGGGGGATGTGAAGCTTTCTGTGTAACAGAAATTGCTGTGTTTGTTGTGTATTGTGACTGACTTAATTGTGTTTCCAAAACCTGAGGTAGGAGAATAAACATGGTTAAGGTTTAAGAAACTTTCAAGTAACTTGGACAGGCTTTAGCTGTGCACAGGGATATCAGAGCATGATAAGGAGCTGTAGAAGCAGGCCATTCTGTTTAAGAACAGGCAGGGGTCCTGTACAGAGTTGACAAGAGGTGAAGCTGCTCTCATCTGCTCTTCACCTTGCTACATTTAGGCTTATTGTTGTCTAGTCTTTTTAACTTCTTTTCCTTCCGAACAGACCAGCCACCACTTGCAAGCATTTTGTTCATATGGACACAATCCATTCTGCAATTCTAATGGCAATACTGCATATTCTTCTGTCCCTATGATATTTGATCTGCTTTGATATCATCCAAAATATCCATTGCTATGACTAAGGACTGGTACTTCAGTTTAGAGCATTGCAGATGATTGTTTTACAAAAGATGTGTGCTTTTGCATCAGTCTTTTCTTTTTCCATTGTGTCAAACTCCTGTCTGTTGTTTTTTTAGAAATAGAATCGTAGAGAATCGTTAGGGTTGGAAAGGACCTTAAGATCATCAAGTTCCAACCCCCCTGCCATGGGCAGGGACTCCTCACTCTAAACCGTATCACCCAAGGCCTTGTCCAACCTGGCCTTGAACACTGCCAGGGATGGGGCATTCACAACCTCCCTGGGCAGCCCATTCCAGTGCCTCACCACCCTAACAGGAAAGAATTTCCTCCTTATATCCAATCTAAACTTCCCCAGTTTAAGTTTTAACCCGTTACCCCTTGTCCTATCACTACAGTCCCTAATGAAGAGTCCCTCCCCAGCATCCCTATAGGCCCCCTTCAGATACTGGAAGGCTGCTATGAGATCTCCATGCAGCCTTCTCTTCTCCAGGCTGAACAGCCCCAACTTTCTCAGCCTATCTTCATACAGGAGGTGCTCCAGTCCCCTGATCATTCTTGTGACCCTCCTCTGGACTTGTTCCAACAGTTCCATGTCTTTTTTTATGTTGAGGACACCAGAACTGCACACAATACTCCAAGTGAGGTCTCACGAGAGCAGAATAAAGGGGCAGGATCACCTCCTTTGACCTACAGGTCACGCTCCTTTTGATGCAGCCCAGGATACGGTTGGCTTTCTGAGCTGTGAGCGCACACTGAAGCCAGCTCATGTTCATTTTCTCATCAACCAACACCCCCAAGTCCTTCTCTGCAGGGCTGCTCTGAATCTCTTCTCTGCCCAACCTGTAGCTGTGCCTGGGATTGCTCTGACCCAGGTGTGGGACTTTGCACTTGGCATGGTTAAACTTCATGAGGTTGGCATCAGCCCACCTCACAAGCGTGTCAAGGTCCCTCTGGATGGCATTCCTTCCCTCCAGCATATCAACCGAACCACACAGCTTGGTGTCATCGGCAAACTTGCTGAGGGCGCACTCAATCCCACTGTCCATGTCAGCGATGAAGATGTTGAACAAGACCGGTCCCAACACCAATCCCTGAGAGACACCACTCGTTACTGGTCTCCAGCTGGACATTGAGCCATTGACCACAACTCTTTGTGTGTGGCCATCCAGCCAGTTCTTTATCCACTGAGTGGTCCATTTATCAAATTGATGTCTCTCCAATTTAGAGACAAGGATGTCATGTGGGACGGTGTAGAACGCTTTGCACAAGTCGAGGTAGATGACATCAACTGCTCTACCCCTGTCCATCAGTTCTGTAGCCCCATCATAGAAGGCCACCAAATTGGTCAGGCAGGATTTCCCCTTAGTGAAGCCATGCTGGCTGTCACCAAGCACCTTGTTGTTTTTCATGTGCCTTAGCATGCCTTCCAGGAGAATCTGCTCCAAGATTTTGCCAGGCAGAGAGGTGAGACTGACTGGTCTGTAATTCCCTGGGTCATCCATTTTCCCCTTCTTGAAAATGGGGGTTATATTTCCCTTTTTCCAGTCGTCGGGAACTTCACCTGACTGCCATGATTTTTCAAATATGATGGCCAGCAGCTTGGCAACTTCATTCGGCAGCTCCTTCAGGACCTGTGGATGGATTTCATCAGGTCCCATGGACTTGTGCACGTTCAGATTCTTAAGATGGTCTTGAACCAGTTCCTCTCCTACGATATTAAAATCTTACAGTTATCCCTGTAGTCTTCTACCCTACTGGAGACTTTTAAGGCTCTTAGCAGTTGGTCAACAGAGGCTTTAAAAATATGATTAAAGAAAGAAACAAATTCAGTATAAAATTTACTGTCTAAATCTGTATACACTCCATGCTTTTTTATCAGATTCTATCTTAAGCGCAAGAGCCTGAAACTAGCTTAGCAAGGGCACTCTAGCTGAGAAATGATGCATTGACAGAGCTCCATGGGGTACAGAGCTTCTAGAAACGTGGTTTAATAAATGAGTTAATAATCCCTTGGCAGTACATTTCTTCTTTTTTCTAACTTTGCCTAGTGTCAGTAATGCATAATAATTGTGTGTTACAAGTATTACTCAGTTCTAAAATTCTCATTGAGTAGGTAGATAAATACACCCATTTTGCAGAAGAAGAAATTAATCTCAGAGGGGCTGTGCAGCAGGAATTGGGTAATACAGCTAGCCACCTTCAGGAGCAGAGACTGAAGCTGCCTGTGTCATGCTACTCACCTGCCAGTGCCACCAGAAGTCTGCCTGCTGACTAGACTGAAGAGAACATCCTTGACTTCTTTCCCTGTTTGACCATCTGTTAAATGGAGTGAGCACTTTCATGCTTCGCAGGTGTGGTGTCAATTTGATGACATCTCTGTATTATCCTGAAGTTCTGAAGAACAGGCATGCATATTTATAAGGGGTTTAATGTCTTATGCTTCAGAGCATAAACTAACCTCTAATTAATAAGGTTCAAAACCAGCTTCCTGTGGGGTAGTGAATTTTTCAGAGAACCTTTCTTGCGTTTTCCAACAGTCATTGCTCTTGGCTACCGTCATCCTGGTAGTGGTGTGAGGGAATATACGATCTGAGCCAGTAACTCTTGCATTCCTCGAAGACAGCACTGTGTGCCAATGAGTACACATTGATTCTCTTTGTAAGCCACACTCCCCACAGATCCAGGCCAGATAAAATATGAATTAGAACTGCAATGCAGGAAAGAAATATTTGTCATCATATTTGCCAGAAGCATTACAGCCGACAGCCATGCATGGCACAAACCACAATGCTTTTACTAACAGAGTGCAGGATTCCAGGTTGACCCTCTGCTCTCTAGCTCAGCTTTGCCATGCAGCTGTGCAAACTGTGTACATTTGTTGGCAGAGAGCTGCCCTTTTCCTTTTCCAAATGGCTTCCTCTAAAGATCCTCTGCTGTGCGGGCTCACATGCACTTGGCTGGACTGCTGTCTGGCAGTGGTCACTGCTTCTTGACAGCTCTATAATGTTTAGCCATGCGGTTCTCAAAATCAAGAGGAATCATGAGGCAAGTACAAGCCATGATTTTCTCTTTAATACCTCCCATATCCACAGTCACTCTTCTCTGGTTGATTTTGGGTTTTTTTTTTTTGTCCAGCCTCTCTCAGGGTATCAGGCTTCTGACCCTTTGCTTATTTCAGTATCTGTAATGCTGACATCAGCACTGCCAGATTTAGGCTGTCCTCAGAGGAGAAAGTGCGAGCACTGGATTCATTGCTCTTGCAATCCTGGTCAAGATTTATTGTACCCCACAGTAGTGCTTGTCAGCCGTCGCTAAAGAGGTTTTATCTAACTTCACAACACTAGCAGAATGGAACACAACAGAAGTGGCATAAATGGTATCCTACTAACAGTGGTTTAGGGGAAGCCTCTGATGTTTACTGCTGCTGACATATAGAGAACTAGTTAAGTATTTTGTTATGCAGACCTTTCCTTTATGAAATTTAGCTGTGCTTGGTTTTTTGTGCTTTTTTTTTTTGTTTGTTTGGTAGGTTTTTGTTTGGTTGGTTTTTTTTTCCATTTGTCTTCTTTATGGCTATACAAACATCAAGCATCTCTGTATTACCTCTTCGTTTCTAAGCCTACCTGAGTTCTCCCTCCCTTTTCAGATTCACATCAGCTTTAACTTGTTTTAGGCAAAGCAAGTCCTCAGATCTGTTGGTTATAAGAGAGGATTGGCAGAAA